GAGATTATATTAATCCTTTCTCTTTTCCTTGTCATTCTATTTTTATTAATAATTACATTAATAACATTATTATTTATTATTTTGTTGTATTTTATATAAATGATGCTGGATGAATTGGAGAAGGAGATCGATAAGGGGGGAGTGGACCCGGCCTCGGAGACCCTCCATTCCTTGATTCGCATTGCGAGTGAGGGAGTCAGCGGTTGGGGGAATCCGTGTCCTTGGAGGGGGATTCAATTTGTAAGTTTTCAATGATTCCGAATCAATTAATATTGCAATCTTTCTTAAAAAAATAGTGAGTTTTTCACAACTCAATACAACAGATTATTGGAGTAGTGAATTTGTCCAACCACTGCGTGACTGTCCAGATCTCTTTACTCAAGGGGACGATAAGTGTGTTTGACCCTCTACGGCATACGTATTTAGAAAAGAAGAACGAGCACATTCACGAAAATCGCGTCAAAGGACTCCAAAAAATTTAAAATCTAATTTCGGTGATTGCGACGTATGCGGAAGTAGAGGGAGTGAGCAAAAAGTTCGAATTGGAATTCATGGACCCTAAAAATACTATCTTGCAACATGATAGAATTTCTTGTGGTGTATGCGCTGCGGAGATGGTACAGACATTGCTCACGAGGACCATGCGTTTCAAGAAGTTTAACAAACAGTTGGCTAAAGTTATGAGGCACAAAATTGCTCTACAAATTTTTCAGTTTAGTACAGAACAAGACACAATTACCGCCCTAGTTCTTTAATGATTCATGTAATACATTTTTATTATTATTTTTTTTTTTTTGCATTTTATTATAATTTTGTTGTTTGATGTATGTATGTGGTATTTCTCATACCTGGAAGAAAAAAATTAAACTAAATTAAACGATGAAAGATGAAAGAAATAAAAAATAAACTTTCGAGTAGAAGTGCGAAGGTGGTATGCGAGAAATATGCGGCAATTGGCATACACCATCTCATAACTGAAATAATTGAAAGATGAAAGAAATAAAAAAATAAACTTTCGAATAGAAGTGTGAAGGTGGTATCCGAGCAATATGCGGCAATTCGCATACCCCATCGCATAACTGAAATAACTGAAAGATGAAAGAAATAAAAAATAAACATTCGAATAGAAGTGCGAAGGTGGTATGCGAGCAATATGCAGCAACTCGCATACCCCATCGCATAACTGAAATAACTGAAAGATGAAAGAAATAAAAAATAAACTTTCGAGTAGAAGTGCGAAGGTGGTATGCGAGCAATATGCGTAACTTCGCATACCCTATCGCATAACTGAAATAACTGAAAGATAAAAAAAATAAAAAATAAATTTTCAAACAGAAGTGTGTAGGTGGTATGCGAGCAATATGCGGAAATCCGCATACCCCATCGCATAACTGAAAGATGAAAGAAATAAAAAAAAGAAAAGAAAAATTAGAGTAGAAGTGCAAAGGTGGTGTGCGAGCAATATGTGGAAATTCGCATACCCCATCGCATAACTGAAAAACTGAAAGATGAAAAAAATGAAAAATAAACTTTAGAATAGAAGTGCGAAGATGGTATGCGAGCAATATGCAGAAATTCACATACCCCATCGCATAACTGAAATAACTAAAAGATGAAAGAAATAAAAAATAAACTTTCGAGTAGAAGTGCGAAGGTGGTATGCGAGCAATATGCATAAATTCGCATATCCCCTCGCATAACTGAAAGATGAAAGAAACACGAAAAAAAACTTATTATGCACCAACTCTGTGAATAATATGCGACGTTGGTATGTTGCAGTTGTGTCGCAGAATAATTTTTTCGACTAATAGTCGCAGATTCATTCGCCTAACAAGAATAATTATTTAATGGGCGACGGACCGCGATTGATCGAATCGTACATCGA